GAAAACCAGCCTTTAACATTGTATAATGCTCTTAAAGATTACTAGAAGATTAATTTGAGAAGATTTCCACCACGCCGATTGCTGACATCGTAACACCGTTTTTGCCATATTCCAGTGCTCGAGTCGCCTCATAGACAGCTTTGATGCACTTTATGAGTATGCAATCCTCGGAAGGTACTCTCTTCATTTTCGCTGCTCCGGCGGCCGTTTTAAGCGCTTAATTTCATGGCTTCTATACTGCAAGGTTACGTAAGTTCTGTTTCACTTATAGACATGCACTAAATCATGCGCCAAACTCCAACGGCCACCACATATCGTATAATCGTTTGTTTATTAAACTAGAATTGAAGTAGACTAGATTGGATTCATGGATTGGAGGATTGGATTAAATTTGATTATTCGATCTGAAGCAGAGCAGTACAATGTATGGTTACGCTACTTGCTGATCATTTTTAGGACAATGATTTCACTGAAAAACATCTCAATTCGAAACTCTATTTTCACAATCATGTTTTACTTACTTCTGTGGCAGGTCGTACTTGAAACTGGTTAGCCTGCAGAGCAGACGTTTTCTTCGGGTGCGCAAATGCGCATGTTGAGACTAGAAATCTCAATCGAAAAGCAAAATGGAGAAGTGAAAATCAAAACGTTAAAAAAGGAAACGTAAAAGTAAAAAATAAAAACCGAATTCTTAACCGAAAAGCTAAATGGCGAAGTGAAAATCAAAACCTTAAAAACGAAAACGGCAAAAGAAAAATAAAAAACGAAATCTCAACCGAAAAGCTAAATGGCGAAGTGAAAATCAAAAAGTGAAAAATAAAAACGAAATCACTATTTGGCCCCCCTGGGTTTCCGTACACAACGAAGCCCTAAAAAAGAGGGTCTGCGTGGGAAGCTACATATACACCTGATGCATCAAAACGTCATCAGTCATCATACGTTCCTTCCTTCTTCCATTTGCAGTTATGTTATTTCAAATTTCTTTCATATCACGACTTCAACGGTTTTGTTTTCATATACTTTCAAGTTTCACTTTTTTCGTATTTAAAATTTTCACGTGTGATTGTATTATCATATTGTACGCTATCCTTTATTTCAAATTGTAACGCGTTAGCATAACCTTATCATTGTACGTGATTTAATGAGGTCAGCACATGCTTTGAACTGTGTAAGTTATTTGGGGTGATTAAAATTTGAACTATCAGTATTCGAAGTCGCTATGGAAAACGAAAATACACCGGGGGTTGAAAATTACACGCTATCCAGGGGCGGATCCAGGATTTTTTTTAGGAGGGGGTGCACTCGTCTCTTGCTCTACTTCAACACCAATAAACCACATAGTTTTTTTTTTTGCAGAATACCAGTTGTATTAGAAATCCGCAGGTCATCTCGGGGGGCTGCGCACCCCCTGCACCCTCCCCCTAGATCCGCCCCTGCTATCGGTACTCTCTTCTCTGAAGAGTCTACCAATCTGAGACTGAAATTTGAGTCTCCATTTATTTATTCATATTTTTTGTTAATTTCTTTAACACTTTAATGCTAGATAGACACTCCAAAGTGAAGCAAAGGGAGTGACTTCAAAGTCACTTTTCTAAGGCTGCATGCATGCATTATGTACACCGCAGGGGGGCGGACGATATTTTTTAATGGTCATTATCTTTTCATATCCCTCAACGAATTCCCCCAACATCATACATAATTTTTGACATCCCATGCCTCTTGATCAAAAGAAAAAATTACACTCCCCTCCCCCCCCCCTACCGCCTAAGTCTTGATTAGGAAAGTAAAATACAGTCAATGGGTGCACATAAATACGCTTAAAATAGAGATCTCCATGTAAAACAAAAGTTAAATAAGGGTCATTGATGTTAGTATCTTTACCCATGAAATGGCAAGGACTACATAAAAGGGATTTGAAACAAAAGAAAATGATTAACTAAGGTTTAAATTGGAACAATAACTTGAATGTAGTTGTGTGAGGATGGTCTGACACTTACCAAATGTGAGCTTTAAGTTTTGTGAAGAATGAGAAAACAGAGAAAAGTGGGTTAACTTTGATGGTAATAATGGTGATGGTGATGAGAATGATGATGACGATGATGAAATAATGAGAAGTGAAACAATCCTTCTCAAACTCATTAATAATTCATTAAGAAAATACAAAGGAAATTAATGTTTAATGAGTGTTTGGAAATCGGATGAAACACTGCTTAGTATTTGCATCCTTAATTTCTCCTTCAAAAATAATTTTGTTTGAGAAGAAATATCAAACATTCGACACAGTGTTTCATCACCAGATGAAACACCTCGAAGTTTTTCAAAAATACTCCGCTGCGCGTCGTATTTTCAACTCTCTTCTCGGTGTTTCATCTGGTGATGAAACACTGAATCTCATGTTTGATTTATTACATGATGCTATTTATTGGAGCAGGATAAAGTTAAAGTTAGTGATGATGATGTAGATTGAGCTGCTTACCTCAGTATCAAAGTAAAAGTAAAAGGGTTTGTCCAGATTTTTGGATCCAAAATTCGAGACTTTTTCCACACTTTTTTCCAAAACAATAGTTTATTTTTCCATACTTAAGGTCGCCAAATAAGTGATCGTCAATACAGACCGTCGAAAAACGCAGGATCCAAGCTTTTTTCACGATGCCCTGCAAATGTCTGATAACCATGGTCAAGACTTGCCACGGTGGAATGCGGACATAAGAGAGTTATGAAATGTCTCATTGTGTGATTAAATTTCTTGGCTACGGGCGAGATTGAATGGGATTTGACCACGGAAAAAAATTCACTTTTTAAGCACTTATCGTAGCTTTAAAAACACTCCAGACTTTTAACCGGCCATGTTCCAGACTTAATCTCTATGTTCCAGAATATTTCTAGGTCTGGAAAATTGCTTTGCAAATTTCAAGACTTTTTCCGCCAGAATTCAAGATTGTACGAACCCTGAAGGACATTGATTTTTAATACATAAATAATAACAACGTCCTTCACTGAACTTGGAAATAAGGAATTTCACCTGTGTAGTGGTTTGTCAATAACATTGAAGATTCCTATCAAGAGGCATCTAAATAAAAATTGGCATCCTTCCTTCCTGCCTTCAGAATTTTTTTCCCCTCCCTTTCTTCTTCCGAAAAATTTTAAGATCCCTCCTTAAAATCCTCTATCCCCTTCCCCTGTGGTATAAATAATGGGTGCAGCCAAATGGTACGTCTCTAGAGAGGAACTCCAAAGTTCTTCCTGCCAGAAAGTTTGAGGACGGCTTTACAGTCTTAACAATTGTGGTTTATTTACGGACTCTAGCAGATTAGGCAATTGTGTGCAATGAAGGCCAATGAACAACTTAAAACAACTGTCATACTGCTTTGTTCGTAACTCCAGAAAACGTAGGCGCTCTTTCATTCCGCTGTGTAGCTGGCGGGATTAGAGGGGATTGATCTTTCTTTTTTTGGCGGCAAAACCGCGTAAATATAGGGAGCACGTCAGATTTAAATTCCTAATTCTTGGGTATTTTAAAAATTCCGACTATCAGGCGTACGGGAGTTACTGACTGGTTTGAGAGGCGATTACACATCAATCAGATGTTAAGAGGCAAGATCCCACTATGATAGCTCCTCAAAAAACATTATTGAGAGAAAAACATATCAAAAATCAAGGCACGTGTTATCTGCTATCTAGCCTTAATTCATATAAGACCAAAGTACTAAAAGCAATCTCTCAACTTGCTGTTAATTTTTGTCTATAATCATGGATGAAAGTAAACAGTTTTAAAAAGCATTTATAAAAATATACCTACTTGATTACGTAATTATGCCTCGCGGGGATCAGCCAGTATTTTAATACACGTAGTCATCTTAAGTATAGATCGTCGAAATTTTGCTCATTATGCTCCGTCCTTTCTACAGTTAAGCCATCACACTTGACTTATGCTTACCAGGCGCGTAGCCAGCTTCTCGACTAGTTGTAGTCCTGGCTGACTTTCATTTCCACAAATCCTGAAAATTGAACGCAAGACTAGTATGCACTAACCTCACCAACACTGTGAACTCTTAAGCTTTTTAACTCACCCCAACAACGCATAATGTATTACAAGCGGTAGGGAGCTCAAACCAAAAATTTGTAGGCCCAGGCCTACAGGTCTGTGGGTTGGCTACGCCCCTGGTTACCTTATACCGTATTTATTCGAATAAGCGCCCAACCTCGAATTAGCGCCCACCTCGAATAAGCGCCCATCCCAAAGGCAGAAAAAGTTAATAAGCGCCCAGCCTCGAATAAGCGCCCACCCCACCCCACTCCCTCCCACACAAACTCAAATAAGACATAACAAGAGACCCTCTCGAAGACGGAGTTTTCTTCAGAGTATTTTACAGATTGGGCTGAAACCTTTCTTTGTTACTTCTTCGCTTTTTGTTATTACCGTTTATTATTTTGTAGCAAAATAAACATACTACGCTTGCTGAGAATGGCGAAAATTTAATAAGCGCCCAGCCTCGAATAAGCGCCCACCTCGAATAAGCGCCCACTATCAAGGTCCAAAAATTTAATAAGCGCCCAGGGCGGTTAATCGAATAAATACGGTAATTACAGTGCAGTGCGACTGCTTGAACCAGGGCACTTGGAAGAAGATTATCCAATCACAACGTTTTTTGAAAACAAAAGATTCTCAAGTTTTTGGCAAACGGACCAATAAAATTCAAGGTTCAACAATACAACAGTTGAAAACTTCAAAATCGTTTGAATTTATCTTACCTCTCAGGAAACAGCTCTTAAATTCATGAATGCTATTATTCCGTTTGCAAAAAAAAAAAAACGACAGTCTTTTGTTTTTAAAAAACTTGATTGGATAATGTTCTTCCAAGTGCCCCGGTTCGAGTAGTCGCACTGTAATAGCTACTAGTTCTGCTATTAAAGTATACTTTTAAGCAAGTAACTGGTGAGTTTTTAGTAAGGACAATGGGCTAGGATCATGTTGTATTTTGCTATATTTTTTATATAGAGGGACTAATGAAGTCTCAGGACATGCAGCTGCTTCAGCAAGAGAGCCAATAGAGCAGTCGGTAGGTAGATATTAATTTCAAAAGGTGCGTCATGTCAGCATCTCATGTTATAACTAACCCATCAGGCTAAAGCTAGAACTGTTAGAAAAGTCACATTTTCTCAATGACACAATCTGCTCGTTGTGTTGGGCACCAAAATGTGATAGAAAGGATCACTGCCACTGCCAGATAAATCGTCATGTTTTTAAAATGTAGATCAAGACCTGACAGCGGCAACATTTTAAAGAAATAAAATCAAAATTTCTTTGGTTTTTGTCATGAACGATATTGTTCATCGTAGGTAATGTGTATAAACAGAAGCATATGCTTCTGGTATAAAGGGTTTCGTTAATCGTTTGTCTCACAAAGGTCACATAGATATTGATCGCAACGTTTCCATGACGTACTGCATGTCTTCATCAGGCGATAGTGTCGATTAACTGAGTAGAACTATTTGTACCTCCATGGATGTTAGTGCTCGGTGTATCACGAACCTCGTTCATGGTTGGTGGGTTCGATCTATAGCATTGATGGCATTATTAGAGGAGGAAACTGTTCCCTCAGCGGTCCGTTGTGGTAACGATCGGCTTTGATTTGTTTGCATGAAGATTGTCGCGGAAATTAAAATCTGAGTTTCTATCACAAGTTACGACTAAAGATGGTATTACTTAACCACTATGCAGTATTACAATCTAACTTTATTGTTTTCTTTTACATATTTGTATCTATTTGGCACCGAATTGTTAAGGGTTAGTAGAATCACTCCATCTTTAAATAAAAGCTTTGAGTAAAAATCTACTTATGCAAGTTCTGGTTTAGAACATTTATTAAAATGCAACTACCCTCGGCCATAGACCGGGGATGGCAATAATAATAATTGTACCGCTAACTTGTTGTTGACTGTTGCTGGCGAATTTATTTTTGTACTCAAAAAACGATCGCAAGAAACTGATAATTTCACCCCTTGCCCGTCTGAGAATTATACAAACATGCATTTTTACCTTTTACAGGCGATCATGGGTCAACCCACTGAGGAAGTGAGTCATCCTGTTCATAGTGGGGAACAGACAGAAAGATCTCAACAGCCTTTTATTGGTCAGCCTAACGCTGCAGGGGTTCACAATGGGCTGATTGATCCCCAAGGGATGCCACCATTGCAAGTTGTGCCATCAAGATACCCTGATTGCCTGACGGAGCTACTTGTGGAGAATCTGAACTCGAATGTCAATGAAATGCAGATGGTTCCCTTATACCAGCCGCAGTCAGGAGGTAGACAGCCAATGCAGTACGATGTACTGGCTGGAGGAGTGCAGTTCAACGATGGGGCTGAGGCAAGACCATTGACCAGTCGAATGCACTGTGGGCGAAGAAGGACGTATGCAACTGAGTCGGTCGATGAAATCAGGTCTGTCGAGGAGACCAGTCAATTTCCAGAGCGGAACCAAGCACGTGAGCACACGCTTACGTCCAGTTTGCAACGACTGCCGACTTTTAACAGGTCAGTATACTACGACAATTAAACACCGAATGTGTATTCCATCCAACTACGTCGAGGGCTATTTTAAATGGTCTCTTCCTCCGGCTAAGGGGAGGCAGTGCGTCATGTTGTTCCTGGAAATGACTGGAATCGCACTGCCTGGTTTTATAACTCTAATGAGCCTGCAGGAACAGCAGAATCAAAGTCGTTCAATTCTCATTAGTTTTTTTTAACCGAAAAACTAACTTTGTTTAAAGAAACCCGTGAAATTCTGACTTCGTACAAAGGTCAAGTCACGAGATTTTCAGTCAGCATTGCATATTTATTAAGAATGTTAAGGACAGTTTTCAATTTGTTTTTTCTTTTTGCCAGAACTCAATTTGCCCTCAAATGAAACAACCAACGCTTTAAAACGAAGAAATGATCTACCGTAAACTTCCGCTTATAAAACCCTGGGCTTATATAACTTCGTAAGGTGTTTTTGGAGGGCTGATAAACGAAGAGGCCTATAACCGAACCTGAAAAAGGTGTTTCAAAACAAGCTTCGTAGTAGTGCTTATCAAAATACTTTTTGCATTTACTCGCTTTTTTAAGCTTCAAAACATCGTAAAAAAATCTAATTAATTTTATTACAGCCAGAGGACAGGGGGGGAAAGGCTTTTAACCGGAAGTATTTGTTTGTTTTCCAAAAATAAAAGGTCTGTGGAGCAAAAAAATCAAAAGCTTATTGGAACAGATAGGATTAGGAGAATTCTGTATGAAAGCACACTATGCGGACATAGGAATCGTGAACATGATCAGGCAACGACTTAAGGATATCGAACTACAAAGATGGCTAAGTGAAATAAATAACGACACCAGAAAAGATGCTAACCAAAGCAACAAAATGAGAACCTACCGGTTATTCAAAAGGATAGAAAATTACAAATGTGAAGATTACCTACATCAGGTCACCAATACGCGACACAGAATAGCTCTAACAAAACTGCAACTTAGCAACCACAAATTAGACATAGAGACAGGACGTTATTCGACACCGATGTTTGCCCAATTTGTAAAATAGAAATGGAGGACGAATACCATTTTCTAAATATACCAGGAAAAAAGATGTTCGTTACTAGATTATTTGGGAAAAGAATATAGAATAAAAATATAATAATAATAATAATAATAATAATAACTCTATTTCTATAGCGCTCTTATCCTATGTTCAAGGCGCTTTACATAATATTATATTAATATTATTATTATTATATTATAATAATAATAATAATAATAATAACTTTATTTCTATAGCGCTCTTATCCTATGTTCAAGGCGCTTTACAGTCATGTAAACAACATTATTGATAAATATTTACAAATTTACAACCATATCCTGTTATATTTACAATGAGTAAAAAAATAAGCAGAATGTCACCTAACAAAATATTCATGTTTCCAATAAACCCCCCCTAGCGGAAATGCTAAAATACAAAAACTAATAGCAAAACATATCATTCGAATGCTTTGAAAAAAGGAAAGGGGAAGACGACAAAAAGTAAATACTCTAGGACTTAATTAATTAATGACTTATCAGCCATATATTGTTAGGAATTTTTTGTTGTTTGTAATTTTAGTTATCTGGAATTAGTTGATATACTATTAATATCATAGGTGACGAATTACTCCTTAATTTTGGCGCGAAATTTCAGCGTTAATTTGTAATTTCACATGTGAAATTACCAAATTGCCATGGCAACCTGCCGTACGTCTCCGTTTCAAGATGGCGAGGAAGTTTTAAAATGTCATGAATGAAGATGTCGGGGCATAAAAAGACGGTTTAGAAAACCTGAATACACGAAAGAGCACATCAAGAAGGATTCTTAGAGGTATGTTGTGGAAAAATTCTGAAAACGTAAGCCAAAATTTAGCTCTAAACGTTTGAGAGAGTGGAGTTCACACTGAGTTCACGATCGATCGATACGATCCAGGATAAACAAGTCAAAAATCCTCGATTGCTAACGTAATTCGTCACCCATGATATTAATAGGTAATCAAATGGTATACTCATGAAATCAGGGAATAATTTCACTTGCGTTTTGTCCAAATCCTTATAATTTCGCGAGTTAAATTATTCCCTAATTTCACTCGTCACCATTTGATTACACATACTTATTGTATAAGACTCCAAATAAATAAAACATGTATGTATGTATGTATGTATGTGTATGTATGTATGTAGTGTGTATGTATATACAGGAAGACTGGCCTATAAATAAGGGGGCTCTCATAAGTGGGGGGGGGGAGGGGGCGCTTATTAGCAGAGGTTTACTGTATGAACCGAATTGTCTCTTCAGGTCAAGCCCACCAGAGCGTCCGATAACTCCAGGTCAGATCTGTGATGGAAACTATATTTGGAAGATAGAAGGTTTCCGATCTCTGCTTTCCCAGTCTGCTAGCGATGGAATAGTAACATCACTTGAGAGTCCTTCAATTTACACTAGCTTGCATGGATACAAGTTCTTCATGCGTATCTTCCCAAGAGGCATTGATGGCAGAGATGGAAGACACATTGGCCTTTTTGTTGGCATAATGCAGGGAGAGTACGATACTGTTCTGGACTGGCCCTTCCGTGGACGAATCTCTCTCACCATCAAGGATCAAAGGACTGATGTTCATGGTTTCCGCCAAGATATCAGTGGCACGTTCATGGCCAACAGAAATCAGGCAGCTTTTCAGAAACCCACGGCTGCCAGGCGATACAAAACCCTGTATGGTTACGCAGAGTTTGCGCCTATCACCACAGTTTGTGACCCACAGTATTCTAAAGATGGTACTGTGATGATTCAGGTTGAGATCCATAACATTCCCTAAACATTTCCTTTCAAGGAACACTACTTCTAGGCTGTGAAGAAACTCCATAAAATGGTTTTAACATTTTGAAAAACAAAATACAGCCAAGTACAAAAACTACCGAGCGATCCTCATCAACCATTACTAACCACGTAATTGCATGCAGTAACTGTTATATCTTGTCAAAAAGAAATGTTACTGTAATGAAACGTATAGTCATAACTTCGCATTATTGAGCATTAGGTTTTCGACTTTTTTTTTGACGTATATTTTTTCGAGTATGTTTTAACCATTTTATAGAATTTTACGCATGTAGTACTACTTTACACACGGGACCCTATTGTTAGGTCCGCTCGGTAGACTGAGGTGTCTGCTTGTAAGCGACCACCCCTTACTACACAGAAAAATGGTCACGAGGTGGTCGCCTATGGGAAAACTTAGCAAAATAAGCTCAAATTAAGTTGATTAACGTATTTAGATAAAGATAATACCTTAAAAGCTGAAATTAGGCTAATAGACAACGTTTTGTCTTCCTGAAACTAATTTGTGATTGAGGAGATAAATTATTTACTGGTCTACGCCGTGTGTTACTGTTCAACGCGATAAATGGTGTTTTAAAGATAAAAGCGTTGGGCAAAGTGAAAATGGCTTACAAACGCTTGAACACAATGACTTTTTAGCAATTCCGCAATGTGTAGAAGTGTTAAAACACTTACGAAGGAATTTGGTAACAAAGTCGTTCTTCTGATTTTGATATTAAATCTGAAGTGGCAAAAATGTGTTGTAGGGTAACTTAAACCCTCTAAAACCCTTTAAAAAATGTGTAGTTCCATAATGATCACCACGTGTACATCTATATCTTTGCCTTTTATTGTTGTAGTTGTAAAATTGAATTGAGTAAGTTAAAAGATAAAAATCATTTATAACTTCAAAGGCTCCAATTTCATATAATCAGTTTTGCGATCGTTCAGTTAGTTTCTGAAAAGCTTAGAGCAGTTGCAAAGAGGTTGAGACATGATTTTGCCAAACAACTCCTCTTATAATAAATCTCTCGCAGTCCGAGAAACACTGTTTTCAGCCAAATAAATTGCAGTATCTCAGCCTTTTTGTAGGTGGTTGTTGCACTTTTCAACGTTGCATGGGCATGTAAGAATCTAGAGTGCGTGAAAGTCTTTCATAATTATGTTACCATTTCATGATGCCAAACTTTATGTTACTTTCCTTTTCCTCCCCTGGACGATTTCAAATACAGCAGTTACTGTGGTGGTCTAAACGTCCAAAGTTTCCGCCAAATGTATTGGAACTTACGTGACTTTATGTCTATTTTACGTTGAACTGATCATGAGTTTTGATTGCTTGCTGATCCACCGATTTCGTTGATTGACAGTTTTATAGATTGATTTAAGTTGCTTTTAGTGAACTTTCTTAGGTTTAGTTGTTCAGTTGCGGTAAGCCTATGGAGAAGTAGTTTTTATTTCTTTGATACTCAAGTTCTTACAAGCTAGAGAGATGCACTCTCCAGGTGCGATAATGTTTTGTTTCCTTTTTTTGTATCATGTTTGTTTTATGATTTGACCAGTTTTTATGCTTTCGTGATTCCAGTTTAGCTTAGATTTTGGAACCAATTAGGACATTGTGTAATCTTTTCTTGCAGAATAATTGTTTATTAAAGAAATCTCAAAAGCTTGATGCGATTTTTTCCTTCTGTACCATGTGGGCACTAATCGTCATTCAAAAATTTCACCCTGGAGGGACTAATAGACCTATTCGGCTAACTCAATGTTGTACCCAATTCAAATCTCCCGGGGATAAGATTCTTTGTGTATTGTATTTGCATTATAATGTGGCATTCACATTTAAATGATATGGAAATTCCTGAAACAAAACGTTTTATTCCCAAAGGGTTTGAATTGGGTACAACACTGAGTTAGCCGAATAGGTCTATGCTGCAGGCAATGGTTTACTTTCTAATAGGTCCAGACACCGAAAAATTAAAAATATACAAGTGACCACCTAAAATACAGTGCTCCACGATAAGAAGAAAAGAAAATTTGCCCGAAAATCGCGAGGAAGCAGGGGAGAGACGGGTAAGCATATTGGTCGCTTTCCATTCGACCTAAACTTCCGGTTTGAATTTTCGGCAACTTCCAGTAGTGAACAAAACAGCTTTTTTCAAAATGTCTTAAACGGGGACAACCTCGCGAGGCATACCCAAAAGTTTCTAAAATATTTTCCCTGCAGTTTTCTTTCCATTCAACTTTGCTCCCGGAATTTCTAGCAGTTTCGGTTCATAGTTCGCACTTCGGAAATTCAACAGTTCCCGAAATTTCTGGAAACTTTTCCGGGAAATTTCTGTACTATTTGCCGCGGTATCTAAAATTTTCGAAAGTTTTCGTTGAATGGAAAGCGTCATCTTTAACAGTTTACGTCAAACGTGTTAGTAAGAAAAACAACAACTGAAATTCGCACGTGCATCACACATTTTTTATACATTTCTTTTCCCTTTTTACACGCCTACCACGTGTTAATGTCTAATTTTGCATTTTTTTGTACAGCGTCAACAAGCAACTAGGAAATTTTATTTCTCTTCCTGAGCTTCGATATGGTCCCTTGGAATTCAACCTCAGGAGAGTTCGCCTTCATTTGACAAAGTAAGTGGGTAGGAATAATCGCGATAAAGACTGGAAGAACGCAAATTTACTTTAGAGAAGACGTTCTTGTTGCAGTCGCGTCTTGGCTTCGCGCACGAAGAGTAGGCGAGCGTGTAAAAGCCTCCAGCACTGCAAACTTTGACATTTAACATTTGCCATTCTGACATGAGAAGCGGTTTTTCTGCTAGTAGGCGGACTGAGGTGTTTGTAAAGACGCTTACAGGTTCTCCCCTTTCTGCCGTTTTCTTTCGCTTGCACGCTTTTTCACTGCTCGCCCGCTTTTTTCGCTCGTTTGCACTGACCTACAGCAAGAAGAGCCAAGAACAGCGGGGCTACAATAAAACGAAGCGCCAAGAGATTGGCAAAATATCGGCTGGCTCTGACCAGGTTTCGTAATATTGAGGTTCATTTTCATACATTTTGCGATTACTAAGGTGAAGAATACAGTGATTTTACTAAACCAGTGAAATAGGTAGTAGAATACTACGCAATATTATGCACTAATTCTATTGTCTTCTTTTGTTTATATGCAGCTATTTTGCACTAGTTGTTATTATTCATTCAAAATATTTTCCCGATTCTGATTGGCTAAAAACACACGTTTAATTCACCATAACCAGTTACTGATGACCAAATTTGGAAGAATTTTGTGTTTAACGGGGAAATGACGTCAAAAATGCAGCGTTTTCGCAGGTTAAGGCACCGTTAACCGTGAAAACCTGGGGACGAGGTTGAGTTGTTTTGGTTGTGAACTTGAAAAATGGCGGACATTTCACTCGTTTCAAGAGTAAGAACTATGCCAATAAATAGCTAAAAAGATGGCAAGAACAGCAAGAAGACAACTCGAAGGGCGACATCTGCTATTTGGAGAATATTTGCGGGGCTGGACAAACCTAAACGTGCACTATTGAAGATGAACTTAACATCGATGAATCGATGGAGGCAGGAGCCCATAACCCGGAGCGTCTAACTTTCATACTGTGCCTATGCAACGGCGTTTTCACAATTAGGTTTATTTTTAGAAAAGCCTTTCCCGTGAATTGCTTTGGAAAAGCCAATCACTAGCAATTGCGTCATCAATGATAAACTTCAGGAGCCCATAGGCTCCTGTAAACTTTTAATACGTAACTTGGACAACTCCTTCACATTGAAAAAAACATGGCGGACACACGTGAGGAATCTTCAGAGGAGTCTTCTGACAGTACTTCAAGCGTCATTTACACGGAAACTAGCAGTTCAGAGCAAGATTTGCAAAACCTAGCCAGGACGTCTACTTCATCGGCGACAACGCATAATTCACGCAAAGGGAATTAAATCAAAATCATCTTCGAAATAGCCGACTGTGAAAAGGTCCAAGCGAGCTACTAACAGTCTAAACGACGATCAGATGGAGGAATTGACCTCGTGGAACAGTTATTTTTCGCGGGAAAGCTTATCTAAAAATAAACTCACTTGTAAAAACGCCGTTGCACGAATTTATGGCCGTTGAACGCTCCGGGTTATGGGCTCCTGATGGAGGTAAGCATGCCTTTAGCCATGTTTTTAAACTAGGAATTATTTTGAATGAATAATAAAACAATTATTGAATTCGGCTTTCGTATCATATGAAAAATTATGGAGATCTCGGAGGGTGTTATCCGCCTCGGCCTACGGCCTCGACGGATAACACCCTCCTCGATCTCCATAATTCTTCATAAGATACCCAGCCTCATTCATTAATTGTTAATTATTAACTGTTTCACGGGTCAAGTAAAATCGCTCTATATCAGCAGTTTGTTACACTGAGGATTTCGTTATATAGAGGTTCGTTATATCGAGGTTCCACTGTACTAAGATTTTGTGATTGATTACGAAAGGATTCAACTACAGTGCACTGGCTCAGAAACTGATTTTGGTATTTTGTAAAGACATATACGCGCACGTGGAGATTCAACTGTACAATACAATAAACACTCAACTCCAGCCTTTTACATTAACAAAGTTTCTCTATAAAATTACATAATGGAACTGATTGTCGTGTCGGCAGACATCACACTATGCTCCGGCTGTTTGTTCTATCACTGCCGCAGATACTGGGCTCCTTTTGATTGGCTGGGCATTCAAAATGGACACAATGAAATACCTTCCAAAGAAAACAAAAATTGAAGATTGTTACACAGTAGACAGCTCTAATAACAGTCACCGTCATCAGTGGACAGCTCTCTTTGAACTCCCACACAACCTCTGTGTTTACAGATTATCATAAGTGGCTGCGACACTTTCAGATCAAGGCTGCCGCTAAGAGCCGTGGGATGGAGATTTCCCCAGGCTACTTTCACAAGAAAAAAAAGGAAAAGGAGCCAAAACAACTCCATGACTACTCAATTCCCC